TATATAATGTATGTACATGATTAAAAAAGAGCTTATGCTAAACCTATAGACAATAATATGAGAAAATGACTTGATTCTTATTGGAGTCCTGAAAGCAAAAAGAAAAGAGGACACATTTCAAAAGGAGGTAGCACTGGATCTGGATCTTGAAGGGTGAGGAGAATGTTGAAGCCAGAGAGTTGATGTTGGGAGAGTCCTCCAGCCAGATCCCACAGACTCCCAGGAGGAAGAATGAGGCACCAGGCCAGGCTCACAAGACCACCGGAGCAGCAGGATCTCCCCATCTCAGTGGGTGCATCCGACGTGCTGGGGGCAATAGCAGACAGTATGAAGGGGAGGAAGCCTACTGAGCTACTGAGCCAGGTCTCACAGCAAAGGAGAGAAGTCAGGCACTGTGGACACCTTCCACCACACTCTCTGTGTTCCCCAGTAGCTCTCAAAGGAAATCTGTTTTGTTTTTGTTTTTTGGTGTTTTTTGGTTTTTTGTTTTTGTTTGTGGTGGTTTTTTTGTTTTTGTTTTTGTTTTTGTTTTTGTTTTTGTTTTTTTGGTAGTGGGGATCCAACTCAGGTCCTTGTGCTTTCTACGCAGGCGGCAGATCCACTGAGCTAAATCCCTGGCCCATCTCAGGGGAAATCTGGAATGGTACACCTGCAAAGAAAATCTCCTTCTCCCTTCTTTCACTTCACAGAGGCATTGTCTGATCCCAGGATGGTGACCTATCCCACACTCTAATGTGCATGTTTTTGCAGTACAAGTGGTGACCTCATGCAGGGACGCCACACTCATGTTGTTTCCCTGCAGGGAGAACAGCCAATCCCCTTGAGGAAGGACTCAGGACAGCAAGAGATGCGATAGGCCCTAGATCACTGGGGTGGAAGTTGGAGGGCCCAGGAAGGACAGGTGAGCTAAAGGGTTCAAGCTGAACATGGAAACAGGGTACCTTTTGAACCAAAGCATTCATAATTTGTTCCTGTCTGCTTTTCTCTGTTAGCTCCCCCAGACACAGCCAAGCAGCACACCTGGAGGTGGTCTCGGATGTAACTGGCAAAGATACCCTAAAGACCGAGTGAAAGGGCTGGGGATTTAGCTCAGTGGTTCGGTGGCCTGCCTTGCAAGCGCAAGGACTCGAGTTCAATCCCCGGTACCAAAAAAAAAGACCGAGTGAAAGGCAGTAGAAACAAGTATGCCCTCTGGTGTTGACTATGGATTTGCCATATTCTCAACTAAGAAGAGCAACATACTTATCCCTATGTGTCTCAATCCTGGCCTGAGGACAGCTGTCTCAGAATCGCCCAGAGGGGTCTGAGAAAAATGCAGCTTCAGGGCTCCACCCCAAGCTCTCCAACTAAATGAATCCAGGGGCAATCCAGGAAAGATGGAGAAGCTTGTGTCATCCCAAGCTCTAAAATGTGGCTGTAGGACATGGTCCCCAAATAAAGCCAAAGAGCCCTGGAACTGATTCACAGTGATGCTCCTTCTGTCTATACCTGCCCTGCCTGACCACCACACCACACTTTCTCTGGCTTCTCAGCCCATGACACATGCAAGTGGGAACTGAGCCTTTCTACTCTCCCCAAAGTCGCACCTGTCCCTTCAGCAGCCCAGCAGAGCACAGCATGACAGAATAGAAAGCTGACTGTCCTCCATTTGCCCAAACCCGGGGGCCACTTCGGCCTTAGCAGGGCAGGGGAGCTCACCCCACGGGAACACAAGGGCGGAGCTAGCTGCTAGTGGCTCTGGCACTGTTGCTCAGTGGAAAGTGAGCCATCAGCAGTCTGGGATTCCCCCCTCTGGTGGGGCACCACTGGACCCTCAGCATCATCTGCTGGCCACAGGCTGCCACAGCACCGCCTCCTGATCCAGCCGCAGGGGAGCCTTTGCCCACCCAGGCCTCATACAGGCTGGGCAAGCAACCTACCACTGAACCACACCTCAAGTCCTGACACTTTTATTTCTTCTAGGTATTTGTTTGTGTATCCCCCCATTATCTTTACAGGCCCCCATAATTCTCAGAGACTGAGTATTTCTCTATGGGGTGACTAGATCACCAGCTTATACTGCAAAAAGCTAAGGAGGGGGTTTTGAACGTGAGGAGTGACGACCAGCAGGAGTCCCGTTCTGGTGTGGAGGCCTTACCCTCTTCCTGGCCGTGACTCCCCCTGGCCACCCTGTAGGGAGGTGCGACCAGGGCCAGGCACACACTGCACTCTTGACCTTCACCAGGACTCCACCAAATCGGAGCATCAGGATTCCAGCCTGAGAGCTCTAAAGCCAGATTCTCCAGCCCTAGCAGCTATGCAACACTGCGTCCATGCACAAGCACTGGGGTGGGCACACCCACTTCACGCCACTCCCTTGAGAGACTCCTGCCGGGACCCACCAACAAGGTGTAACATGAACACACAAAAACAAGTGTCCTGGGAGGGTGGAGGAGGCCCCAGAAGGGAAGTGAGCGTGGGAGCAAGAGCAGCATGCACTCCGGACCTTCAGACTCGGCCGGACCGAGCGGCCAGACATTCTTTCCTCCCACAAATATTTATTAAAATCCTATACAGGCACCAAATGGAGGGGTTGTAGAAGCAGCAGGAACCAAGAGGGGCCTCCTGCCATCCAGGGATGCGTGCGCTAAAGGTGGAGACAACTCGGAAATTAAAGAAATAGGAGACTCTTCCCAGACAGCGGACTGCCGATCGGGTCTCACTAATCGGACTGCCTGGGTGGCAGCAGACCCGGCTGAGGTCGGGACTGGGCGGCAGTCACCGTCCCTGCACCCCGCGCTTCCTTCCCAGTTCTGGCTGGCTGCTGCGAAGTTTCCCAACTCCAAGGAGCAGCTGCCGTTTTCTCTCGCCTTTGTTTTCCCCCTCCAGGATGGAAAATGAATTTCGAGCATCGCTGCGGAGGCTGCCAAGTAATTGGAAAACATGTCGAACAATGTGTCTGGTTGCTTTGCGGAGGCGGAGTACCTTCGCTTCTCCAGGTTTCCTCTGCGCTCCGGGAGAGCGCTCCCTAGGTCTCCGGGTCCCCGCCCATGCTGGGAAGGGGGGCGTTGGCGGGGTCTTGGGCACGTGTTTAAAATAGGTCGTGTTTCAGAGCCCCAGAGAGTGCTACCCACAGAAAGGAAAGAGTCCTGGTGTGTATGCGCTGCACCCCAGCAAGACACAGCCCGGGCAGCCTAGCTGGTGCCTCTTGTGGACCTCACTGCCCTGTACCCACGCGGCCCCCTGACATTGCCTCTGACCTTAGAGGGTTTAGATCCCAGGCCCCTCCCTTCTGTCTCCACTTCCGCTCCACCTCCGGCCCCTCCTCAGCCACCTGCCCTTGCCCACCTTCCACCCCACCCCCACCCCCTGCCCACCTGCCCTGGGCAGAGCAAGGCCCCTGTTCCTGGCCTTTGTACGTGCTGCTTTGGCTGGTGCCCAACCTCTAGGATGGCCTGGAGCCCTTCCCCACCTGGCAGCGGACACCTCAGAACACTGGCTCTGTCTTCCCTTTGGGAGTCCCCACCACAGTATGGTTCAGGAGAGCGCATCTGCCTTTAAATTTCCCCTCGGATCCCATTCTGCAGACTCTCTCTGGAGACACCTGCTGGAAGCTTGTGAATAAACCCTCCCTATCTGCACTGGCGCTCTGCCTTCTGATAGGCCTAGGTCCCTGTCTCTGCCTAGAATTAATGAGATCTCATTAGGAAATGACACATCCCTGGATAGCCAGGACAGGCCAATGGCTCCCATCACAGCCACCAGGACCACCCCAAGAAGACACTGGGGAAAACCTCTACTTGCTGCCAGCCTGGACCGGCTCCTGCCCACCTGCCACATCTCCACACCCTCCCCTGGCGGAAGGATCCATGACCCACGATGCCTTTATTAGCTCTTTCAGCTCCATTTAACTACACAAATGGCTTGGTCACAGCTGACTGGTCCCAAATTTGCCAGTGATTTTCTTTTAATTTACCGTGGCTCAGTCCCCTGTAATACAGGTAGAGGAGGCATATTTGTTCCCAAACTCCCCTCCTGGGGTTAATCGTGCACAGAACAAAACTCCATTTGAGCTACTTAATGATTTCATTTCCACCCTAGGTTTGAAGGCACTGTGGCTCTAATACTAATGTAGGTCCCTTTCTCCCTAAACTCCAGATGTTGGTGTGTGGGAGAGGGCGGGAGCTTGTCCCTCTTCATCCGTGTCCTGCCAGGCACATCTACCAACCGTAGTCCCTTTCATGTCCTCTGTGGGATGTTCCCATTGTCCTGGGTGCATCTCTGTTCCCTGGGGAGTCATGCCTGTCTGGTGGGGTTATTTTCACACCCACCCTAGACTCTGGATGTCCTTTTCAGACCCTTCTCCTGCTATCTTCCTCCTCCAGCCTCCCTCTCCTGTGCGCTAGACATTGAGAGCCAGGCCTAGTCCCCCAGACACCCCACCACCTTCCTATCTGGATGCTCCCTGAGCTTTGGGGTCCCCTTCATTGTCAGGGTCTTGAAATATCTCAGAAGTCTGCTTGAAGTCACCTTCTCCAGCTACCTGTCGGTTCTTTTCCTCTCCGGCAGAGAGAATCTGCCCTGCTTATCACTCTCTGTCACTGACACTCTTGGCTTCTTTGCACACAGTGACTTACTGTGGGCACAGCAACCCCTCCAGCATGCCCAGCTCCCTGAGGATGTGAGGAAACTTCCTTCACCTGGATGCTCCACACGCTGCCATGGTGCTGGGTTGTGAATGATTGAACGATTGACCCCTATGTTGTTTCATGTGTGTGGATGTGAACTGTGTTCATAATAAACTGAGATGCTGGAAGGTATTCCATCTGTGTCCCAAATGGTGCTGAAATCTGTCCCAGGCCCTGGCCTGAAGCTGACTCCAAGGGAACGCCAGGTCACCTTCATTCAGAAAATGTGGTTTGCGTGGGCTTGGCGCCATCTGGTGGTGTGGAGCAAGGCAGCCTCTCCAGGCAGGATGAATTGGAGAAGGGGTTCTGCTGGGGCGGGATCCACGCTGGCCCTTCCCACCTGCTTGCAGCCTCACGCAGAGGACCTCTACCCTACCTCTACCCTCTGCATATCCCCAAACTGCCTCCACAACTCCTGTAGCTGGCACAGCCGAGGGTCCACCGGAACTGGGACATCCTGCCGCGCCCCATTGGGACATAAATCGATCTGATTTCGTTGCTAAGGCCGGATGACCAGGTCATGCCCCAGGGCCCTGGTCCTTCCCTCTCCACAGGTCACCAACCAGGTCTCAAACCCACCCTCTGCCTGCCGTTCACCTTTTGAATTCTCGTTTTCCTCTTCTCCTCTGCCTGCCTGCCCCATTAGAGGGAGAACTGGCAAAGCCGGCAAGGATGAAATGGTGAAAGCCCGCTGTGTAAGGCAGTGGAGAGAACAGCTCTACTCTGCCCCTTTTCCCTTCCTTTGATGTGTTGACCAAGAAATCTCTTCGGCCAGGTAGCTGCACCATCTGAAAGCAAGTCCTGGCTAAGCTGGGAATGGAATGACCATGTTCTGCAGGGAAAACACCTTCCCTGAACTTCTGGTTCCATGTCTGTAAAATAAACATTAGGTCAGCTTCCGGTCGGTGTAAAAAATAACTGAGAAAAGGAAGATCATTTTACTTTGGCACACAGTTTCAGAGGTATCAGTCCATGGTCGGGTGGCTCCATTGCTAGGGGCCAGAGGCAGACTCATGATGACCCGAGAGTGTGGTGAGGGAAAGTGGCTCTTCTCAAGGCCGCCAGGAAGCAGAGCAAGAAGGGGAGGAGGAGCCTGAGCCAAGGGCTTCCTCCGCCTGCTGGTCTTACTTCTGGGCCCCTGGCCTGTTGGATGGTGCCATCCACTGTCAGAGCAGGTGCCACCTCATTGTCCCCCTGCCAGCGGTCTCTGGACACACCTAGAAGTGTGTTCACAGACACACTCAGAAGCGAGCTTTACTAACTTCCTAGGTGTTCCTCAATCTACTCTAGTTGACAATGAAAATAAACTATCACAGAAATGATGATTTTTTCTTTTTATTCAGTTTATTGGTACAATCTAGGTATACAGTACAGTTACATTCATTATTGGGATCCTGTACCTTTACATAATAGGTCTTGATTCTCACTTTTTCCCCTTGTCCCTGCCCTCACTTCACCCCCTCCTCCCCTCCCTATTTACAAACCCTTCATTTCCACTTTTTCAGGTTCTCATATTTTCTCCTCTCCCTTATTACCGTTCCCCCACCCTTCCCACTTTCCCTACACCTTTAGCCCTTTACTTCCTATTTCACATTATTAATTATCTCATTAGGATCCTGTGTACTACTATAGTTTTTCACACCAGAGAAACTATTCGGTATTTCAGTTAAAGAAATCTCTGTATGAACATTAAAAATAGGGAATCCTAAAATAAAACTAAAGAGGAAAGTAAAAGAGAAAAGGCAGTGATGTAAGATTAAAATAATCCTTAATTCTGAAGATGAAAATGGTCCCTTAATATATTTAAATTGCTTCTTGCTCTTGTAGTTTTATCTTATTCTTTTTTTCATTATTTAGAGAATACTTTATTAGTTTCTGTAATCAAACCCCCGTAGATATGACCTTACATATTTAATACAGTG